GCAGCTCAAAAAAGACTGACTCTCCGAGCTGTGGAGCAGAAGTGATGGACTCTGCGCCAGGAGGCCAGCAAGCCGCAGCTCCAGGGCTCTGTACAGCAGCACACTGCTGAAGGCTGGCCATGCAGCAACATTGAAGAGCCACATCTTTCAGCAAACTCCAGCAGAGAGAAATACACAGCACGTTTAGGACATTTTAGAGTATTTATCTACTGATCTATTCCCAGAAGAAAAGAACAAGGCTTCCCTTCATGCCTGCAGGATCATAGAGGGGTCACAGAGATTCGAGTCGTCTCTGGGGCTGCGTCCAGAGCCCGTGTGGGTGTCCAGGGTCTGAAGGCTTCGGACAGCTGACCACCACCAGGAGCAGCGGCAGGCAGACAGAGGAAGAGCGAATTCCAGGATCAGCCTCCACCACTGGGATGACATTTTTCCCTGAGGCTTTTCGGACAGTACTGGAAGGACAGCAGAGGATCTAAAGGGAAAACTTATCTGGTAAGGACAATTCAGCTCCTGCGGAGCCAAGAGCTTCACTTTCAGATGAGTGCCTTGTGCCTTTAAAAATCAGCTGTGGCAACAGAGCCTTGCTTATCACACAGCATGTTTCTGAATTAAACTTCAAAGCTGAACTGCCTGTTTGAGCATTACAAAGTTTTGTCTCTTATTGCTTATAACTGACTGCTTTTTGCTTACATTATCATGTTACTTTTTATACCTTGTTATTATAATATAGCCATTCATGCTGGACTGTGGAATTAGTCTCTATTGGGAACCCCAGCATTCACATACAAATCGGAAGCTACAGTGAAAAGTTTATTATCTCAAGCAATTTCCTTTTGCCACAGGCAAAATGATTTAACTCGGCTGTAGAATCTGGGTTTTGACGAGTGGATCATGAGGCTTTCACTGCAGTGTGTGAAGTGCACACCGGGATACTCGTTAGGTCAGTCCATGTTCATCCCGAGAATTCCCAGTGGCACGGAGAGGAAAGACAAGAGGCTGCCACCCGAGAGTCTGGGCACACAGCAGTGTGAGCCTTCAGCTCCAGGCGTTCACCCAGGCCTGAGCACCAGCCACTCCAGCACAGCGCAGGGGAAAACTGACAAGACGCGTCTCGTATCCCATTCCGAATGTGGAGACGTGTTTTAGTTCAGAAAGTATTCAATAGGACTTAAACAAAAACTATGATAAGGGCAATCTTAGATAGGTCTTCACCTTCTGATAAAACGGCAGCTTTTCTGCAACCCAGACACGTATCGAACAACAATGATTACTCCGCACATAAGCAGCAACAGCAAAAACTATTTTCATCTGACCAGGCAGGAAGATGCCACAGTGCAGGATAACGCTCTTCCGTATCGCAGGAAACAGGCGAAGCCGGAGCGGCAGGAGAAAGAGGCTGCTGAATCTCAGCTTTGTTTCAGCTGCCAGCGCAGTCTGGACAAGCAGGCTCTGAGAGTGGATGTCTGAGCTTATAGAAAACAATCCCTGCACCAGGCAGGGGGCTGCATGCTTCTAATAAGACGCGTATGACTGACAATGGGCAGGGGATTAGGGCAGAATCTCGCTTGGCCAACAAATCACTTTGTTTTAATATTTATGTAAAAGAAAGAGTACTAAACTAAGCCCTCAAAAACACCCCAAGAGAGTCAAAACAAAAAGGACAGGATAATTGGATTTCTTTTCTTGCTTAAAACATTTCCTATTTAGACACATGAACAATCCCCAACAAGCTAATTCCTCCTTATTCCATGTGTCCTGGGAAACCAGACATTTCCCTGAAGTTTCATCAGCTCTGGACACAGAGGAGCTGTGAAACACTTCCTCTGGCATTAAAACCACAACAGCAGCAGAGGTGTCAGGAAAACCATAAATAAGCTGTGGAAAGTGGAACGAAACCGCCATCTGTGCCCACAGTCGCCAGTAGAGTTCAGAACCCAACAATGACCCGCAGACGGCAGCTCACAGCTTCAACCAAGCAGCCCACAGGCACAGCTAAGCCGGGAAGCAATCTACAGAAAATATATATAAATAAAAACATCATCCTATACTGAAGAAACTACTGTTGTTGATGTTTCTGATTTTATTAGGACCGGTAGCACTTATTACCATTAATATTAATGGGGCTTGCTAACGTGCACAGCCGCCTGCGATAAAAGCTACGGAAGATGAGGAAAGCAGGGGTAAATAATGCATGACTAGCGGAGATTACTGCAGGGAACATGCGTGACTTTAAAAGCTTTACAGCAGTTTTCCAGTCCAGCTACTGTGCATTGCCCAGCTCTGGCAGCGGCATGCTTCACCATGATGAGCAGAAAAGACAGCTCATGGTACTGACGGCTCCCAGGCTCCGGCAAACCGCGCACATATTACTGCTCGGTACATTTACGTTCATCCTGTCCAAAAATCCACAGGCACAGATTCAGATCTGGGGATGAGGAGCGGCGTGCACTTAACCAGCAAGGGCTGGCTCGCCTGTTGCAGGGCTCACTCTAATGAGGTGCCCAGGAATGCGAGGAATGCCAGGCTAGCACCGAAAAACGAGCCGAGGTGCTGTGGGCGGCGCGCACAGGCACGGCCGGAGTCACCGGGCGTGCACTCCTAATAGCCGTGTTTAGGCTGGAGACTCGACACCAGGACGAGGTGTCGCACAAGCACACTCGCCGCGCTCTTATGACAGCAGGGGCCTCGGGCTTTACCGAGCGGACACACAAACACACATGTGCATCTTACATCTTGCGAGTTCAACCTTGTTCACTACCACCCGCTAGAATGGATTTTCAATAACCTCAGCGTGGGTAGGATTTACAGGTTGTTAAACTTAAGTCAGCGAAAATCCCGGTATCTTTTTTTCATATACCGGACTACAATAGGCAAGTCTGCAAATTTTGCTCATAATGCTGAAATGCATTTACTCCCACTTTCCTTCAGAAGGAGAGCTTGAGACGTCTCCCCCAGGACTGCAGCAGCCTAGCACCACAGACTACAAACGGCAGACCAGATTACTCTCTCTCTCTCTGAGGCCTGAGCGCCTCAGCCCCCGCTCCGCAGCCGCGCACTGCCTGTCAATGTCGATCATGTCCGGGCCGGCAGCAGACCAGTATACCCTTTTGGGCCTGGGAGTGTGCAGAGCTCTCCTTGTTGAAACACACTGACATGGGCTTTACCCAGGGGGGATACGTGTGCCAGCCTCTAGCCAATGTGGGCTGCTGTATGGAAATGCACACACATTTTCCACGGAGGGGGAGGAGACTCCAGGCCATATCCCAGTCTCTCGGGGCTTTAGCAATTTTACACAAAATCGCCTTCAGACAATGTCTTTACTGTTGCACAAGAGGAAAGTATGGTTTCTCCCAATGAGAGACTAACCATCTTATGATGATACAGCGGCTCCTCATCGCCCCTCTGGGGGCAGCCCTTTGGTATCTGGACATCAGACACTTTTTGTTAATTCTTTCTGTGCCTTATATTTTAATTTTGTAGCCATTGCCTGGGAAAGAACTATAAAAAATGCGAACCCTTACACACTGTTTCTGTTTTCAGAACAGTATGTACTGTATTGCGAATGCCTGATCTAAGAGTTCTCAGCCCTAAAAGAGAGGAGTTCCTGCAAATTCCCCCGGCCCTTCCCTTCATTTCTTCAACTGAAACAGAAGACGGGGCTCAAGAGGAAACCACAATTACGTTTTCAAAAACATGTTTCTTTGTAAAAGACCTTGGTTTTTTTGTCCTAGTACAAAACTGGAGAGCTCTCCCGAGCACTGTAAGCTCTCCCACAGCACGCAGAGCAGAAGTGTTGCTCTTCGCTCTCACCTCGCCCGACGCGCGGCTGCACTGCTCTGGCCCCCACCAGGGGTGCCAGCGCCCCGAAAGGCCCACGCTCGGTAACGGGGCTGCTCAGCAGAGAGCTTTAGAAATGGAGCTTTGGTGTTCGTGCGGCTCGAACCCCAGCACAACTCAACTGCTAAACACAAAACCCCTCTGTGCCTGAGCACGACCTGACTGACTATTTTAAATTGCGTTAATAAGAATTTTGACGCCGTTGTTAATTAAAATGGCTTTAATCAACAACAGTGTTGTTACCGTTTTTTCTTCATGTCGTCTCAAAAGAACCTTTAAAAACGAAGGGGTTCTTGCAGGCAGTCGAATGAGTCAATGTAGAGTCACAGAGAAACAGCGGGCTGAAGAAAACCTTCTGTGCAGCTACCACAATATTAAAATCTCCTGTAGCGTGTCATACACAGACATTTCCACCGGTTTAAAGTTATTCAGTGTTTTACTTCAAAGTTAGAGCTCCTTGCTTACTGCTTGCTTGCCAGAGCCCTGGGCACATGGGCAGCTCTCCAAGGGAACAGCAGACCAGTCTGCACCGACTGCTGCCGAGAGACTTGCAGACAGAACCGTGCATTTCTGCGCTCCAGATCTGCACTGCCAGCCACTGAGGAGATCCACATAAACAGAAAAAAATCCAGATCATACCGACTGCATGTCCTTGTGCTTCATCCTGAATTCATTGCTGGAGATCAAGCCAGGGTGAATTATGCAATTCCCTAATCCTTAAAAAATGAAGAAAGCACTCTTAATTCCTCCCTCATCGGCAGGCTCATGTTTCCTCAGGGAAGAGGAAAACCCAAACAAACGGGGCCAGAGTTGCAGGATCTCTGATCTAAGACCTGGAATCGGACTGCAGGCCCAATGTGAGGGACAATGTCACGAAGAATGGGCAGCAGAACCAGAACTGGGATTCCACTGTAGACACACACAATTCCTGTTTGGAAGCACGCATGACGCAGTGCCGATTGTTGCGATGAGGCTCTGGAAGCCGGGCTGTTGCTGGGCTAGCACCGGGACGGACGGCTGGCGGCGAGGGGGCTTTCGCACGGGGGGTGGCGCCCAGAACAGATGGGGGGCTGCGGTTCTTGTTCAATCAACAGGACGCATCAGACAGAGCCGCAGAGGTGCTGAGGGGCTGCACTGCTCTGCCCCTCACAGCTGGTCTGAATTAGGGAGCCCCCAAGGTCGTTGGTGGGGGG